TTCGAACCCCGGAAGTTTGACTGTGGCTGCTTCAATCTTCTCTGTAGTGTAGACATGGCCTTATACACTAACAGATGTATTAGGTCATGAACTTTGGGGGGGTAACACTGACTTCATCAGATAAGTCATCACATTTTCAGTTAGCTGAGGCTCCAGAATGGTCTTCAACAGTAGCCACATTGTGGTACTTCTTCCTGTAGCTGAAAAAGACATGAGTGATTGTAGCAACTCCTGCATAAACTTGGAGAGCCAGATGTTCAGAATTTTGCTGTTGCTCTGCAGTTCGAACTGTAACATATGTTACTAAAAGTATTTTGCAAAAGCTTTAAGCAATTTTAAGTGAACTAACACAATTCTTCTTCTTTCTATTGCCATATTTTTATCAATGTGCGTTCACGTAGGGTTTGCAAGACAAAAATATTTTAAAATAGTAGTCAAACTTTAGTTAATGAAATGTTATAGTACCTTATTATCTAAACATAGTGGTTTTAGTTTATTTTATGCAAGCACAATATTTGAATTTTATTTAGTTGAGGAAATAAACACGTATCAGAACAATTACGGTTTTGGAATACTGTATTCACTACAGTGACTAGGAAAATAAATTAGAGAAAGCTGTTTATTCTAATTTTCTTTAAGAACATAATGCAAGTATTCAGTAATTCATATATACATTCAAACAAATAAATCAATTATTGAATCTATATTAGACAGCATATCTTAAAGAGCGATTTGTGTTCAGGATACTATTGCTGCAGTGTACATATGGCAACATATTTTTCTCACTTTCTTTCTACTCAAATATGAAGGAATATGTTTTCAGTGAAGGGATGACTCAGAACCTTCTTAAAGGTTTTGCAGCAGCTGGAATAGGCACTGTGTAGTGGGGGATAGAAGGCAAAGGAGAAGGAGACAACTGAGTAAAATATAAAAAGAGAAACATGCTCCACCGTAGAGGAAAGACATGGGGGGCCAGTGAGCAAACAGAACTTAATTTTGCAGGAATAAATTTAATACGTGTGATTAGAATCATGGAAGAATTTAAAAGAAGTGAAAGTGAGCAGAATAAATAAAAATAAAAGAAATTAGAACCAGGATTCAATTAAGAAAAAATAAACTGGTTGAGAAAGAAAACCAGAGTGAAAGAGCCACATGAAGATTAAATGATCGCATAGTTACCTTATGCAGTGCTGAACATGTGAAAGGCATGCAACACTGAATATGAAAATAAAAGATACGTCTTCACTGACTCTAGCGGAATTTTTTGTTAAAAATGTTTATCTGAGTCTAGTTTACAAATAAATGTTAGAACTAGGAAGAGGCCTATTACTGTTGAGCAAGAAAACCAGAGTGAAAGAGCCACATGAAGATTAAATGAGCGCCTAGTTACCTTATGCAGTGCTGAACATCTAAAAGGCATGCAACACTGAATATGAAAATAAAAAATACATTTTCACTGACACTAGCGGAATTTTTTGTTAAAAATGTTTATCTGAGTCTAGTTGACAAAGAAATTTTGGAACTAGGAAGAGGCCTATTACGTTGCTGGCTCCCAGGACTACTGGTTGTCCAGGAGAAACCAACCAGTAGAAGCCCATAAAGATCTGTAGAAATGGAGACCAGTGAAAGAATTATAATAAAATATACTGAGATTTTCATTAGGGAAGTATATTTTTATCTTAAAGGCAGTAATGTGTTAGCTTTGGTGAAGGGTAAATACATTCAGGGCATATCTTAACTACCCACCAAATTGATGGACAGCAATCAATCCAGCTAGGTTGATTTGTTCCACCTCACGATAAATCAACCGTCAAGCATTCTCCCATCAACTCCAATACTCCAGCAGAACGAGAAGAGTCAGGAGAGTCAATGGGAGAGCATAAACTGTCCACTTACTGCTGTGAAAATACCACAGTAAGTGGATTTATGTACATTGACTTTGGCTACATTATTGCTATAGGTGAAGTTGAGTACCTAAGATCGATAGGCAGCAGTAGTGTAGACTAGACCTCAGAGTAAATTCTACAAAGTCCAAAATATTTATGTAAATTTGATATGACAGTTGAGGATCTTAGCCACACCTTCAGAAGAAGAAGCTTGAATCATCCAACACTTGTTAACCTTACTACTAGGGATTTCTCCAGGCAAATATGTTGACACAACTAAAGATCTAAAAGCGCAAATACTTATTGTTGAGCATAGTGCTTACGAATATGAGTGGTCTGATTCACTTGGAGCATTACATTAGGAAATGTGTCATAACTGGGCCCAAATTGTAGCCATATCCTGGCTTTTTACCATGTCTGCAATTCTTTTGGAAATGAATGACAGGTGTGTAATTCTGATGGTAGGATATTACCCATTAATATTTTGAAGGTTGGTATGGTACTGTAACTCATTTTAACATAATTATTATGAGACAACTGTGATTTTGCCACAAAACCTATGGAAGGGGCAATACACAGTTATGCTACCCCTGGAGCTGTCACAATCTGTTTTCCTGCTCGATAGGGTATACGCCCCGTAGCAGCCCCGTACAAGGAATGCAGTGGTCCTGAGGAAGCGTCTGTCTCTCCTCTCCATGCTTCCATCCACAGTTTGGTTAGACGGCACAGAGGAATAAAGACAGCTCAATGCCTCTGGTGGTATGCAGAATGGGTAACATTCTGGCCCTGTATTTGCTTTTAAGAAAAAGGGAGGATTAGCAGGATATGTTTTCTAGGAAAACAAAACAAAACAAAACAAAACAAAACAAAACGAGAGTAAGCTCCCATTTCGTAAGTGTTAGCTCCCAAATTCCAGTTTCCCAGCTCACCTATCTGAGAAGAAAATATTTCATTAGCATTATCATTAAGTACAGAAAAATGTGCAGTGAAAACGTGTGGTATTGATGACATGCCCCATTAGTAGGTCATTCCTTCTTTCCTGTTTATTTCACTTTTAGGGACAGATTCTACAATCTTGTGCAGAAATACATCAGGCTCATCATGCACAAGATAAAGGATAATCAGGGCTTCAACTGAAAGGAGAAACTGTAAGCAAAGTAGAGTGACAGATAGATAGGGTACGTCGAGACTACAGGCTTTTTGTCGACAAAGGCTATATCAACAGTACCTGTCAACAGCTTCTGTTGACAAAAGAGCGTCTAGACTACATCCAGTTCTGTCGACAAAGCAAGCCGCTTTGTCGACATGAGAGTCGAAAGGACAGTGTAGATGCAATAACACCTTCTGTAGACAGAATTCTGTTGACAAAAGGCGTTATTCCTCATAGAATGAGGTTTACTGCTCTTGACAAAACTGCCAAATTCTGTTGACGTTATGTCGACAGAACTCGGTGGTAGTGTAGACCCAGGTATAGTTTTGTTGACAAAAGGCTACTTTTGTTGACAAAATCCTGTAGTCTAGACACACCCTTAGATTACACTAAGCACTTACTTCGATACAGCTACCTTACTACAGATGTGGAAAATCCACATTCTTGAGTGATGTAGTTACATCAACCTAAGCGCAAGTGGAGACAATGCTGTCTCAACAGGAGAAATTCTCCTGTAAGCACAAATAACATCTTCATCAAGAACTACAGCAGTGTAATAATGTAGACAAGCCCTATATAGATTCAGCGGGAAAGCACTGTGATAAGTTAATTGAAAAAGTACACTATAACTCTCTTATCACATCCTATATCTCTTTAGATTATACATTGAAGTTTATGGTCATATAATAATTCATTTTTTATCATTTAAATGGTTTGTTTACTTTTGTGCCTCACTCAGTTTGGACAACAACATACAAAACTCATCTTCACTTTTGTTTCTGTTCAGTTTCATTTTCTGTTGAACTCTGAATTGAATTCTGTTTGCAAACACTGCATGGGGAGGGGAACAATTATTTTTAAAACCTATTTTTAGTTTTAAACCATCACAGAAATATTGCTATGGATCTTATCATTTGTAAACATTTTTTTTTAAAAAAAACAACAACAAAAACTGTAGCTGAACTGCAGGCACCCCGTGTTGCTTTTTCTTCACAAGTGCAGTTTCTGGGATCATGTAATGAAGTGGGGGAAAAAAATCTCAGTTTTCACTTAAGACATCTAGACAGTCTGCTTGAAAATGTGACTGTAAAGTCTACATAAAATAAGTAAAAACCTAATATAAGTCCAAGAAACCCAATATCTAGATGGGCAGAGGACTGGACTTGATGACCTCTCAGGTACCTAATAGTGAGTCTTTGATAAAGAGGCACAAACAGGCAGTTTTTTCGGTGCCTAGAGAGGCTTGTCTCTCTCTCTCTCCCCCCCCTTCTTCCCTCCTTCGCGGAAGATTTGGGGCTCCAGCGCTGATCTGCGTCCCAGACTTCTGGCTGTGGGGCAGGTGTGGCTTTTGTCAGCCTCGCCCAGCTCACCTGCAGAGCCGCTTCTCACACCCCAGCCTGCACTCACCTGAGGCAGAGCAGCATCCCCCTGAGCGCCGCCTCCTCTGCTGCAGGTTGCCAGGGGGTGGCGCCTTTGCCCGCTCCACTGGGGTGGGAGGGCGAATGGGAGGAACCGCAGTCAAGCTCCTAGGAAGGGCCGCTCCCACCATGGGGCCCGCGCCAGGCAGGGGCAGGCGGGAGGGCGCTGCCTGCGGGGAGGC